AACATAATAAGGTTAGTAATGGTGCCGTACTAGTTAAGCTTGCTGGGCTCCACAGGGATCAGAGGAATGACCGTGTTACAGAGGGACTTGCAGAGTGGACACATGTACTCGCCGTTCTCCAGGTCTATGATCAGATCTGCATGCAGCCGATTCCGAGTGGTGTTCTGCACAGCTTCAAAGTACCTACAAACAGCAAAAAGACATGAAGATGTAAAGGCTGAGTGGATTTGTTTGGTTTAAGCATCCCAAATGAATTTTTTTTTTATTTAAGCATTAACTGACTTTTGCCAGCAGGTGGCGTGCATCACATGCCCACAGCTGCCGGTGTGTGTCCCCACAGCCAGATCAGGGGGCATGAACAGGGGATAGCTGCCTACCGTTTTACAAAAAAGAAGAGAAAACAGTCTGATTCAGCATCACATTAGCAGAATTCCCATCGGTAATGCTTACATCTTAAATGAATAATAAATCATCATAACATGTGCAAGGAATTCATACATGCTTAATGTCAACACTTCCTGCTTATCACAATAAAGGTACTTGAGAGGTAAAGTATGAGGCATCATTCACCTTTAGGGGAGAGTGTCTTTCCACGGTTCTGGGTGAGAACAGTAGATCTTTGCACACATGCTGTGAGGACCATGGCTGGTGCCTGAGCCTGAACCTCCTGCTCCTCCTGACATAGGATGCAGATTTGAGCCTCCCAGTCTGTGGAACAAACGCCCTGCTGAGGCCCCACAGCCACCCTGCTCTCATCCACATCCATCCTGCAGCTGCACACACACACACACACACACACACACACACACACAGAGTGGATTTCACTTAGACATACAGACATTTGAAGGGTGTTCGCAGAAATTATATTACTGTAAATGACTGTGATAGTCAGCTTTTGAGGGATAAAAGAGCAAAAGAATGAAATAGTGGGAAAACTGAAAAGAAAAGACAAAGTGACAAAAGAACAAGGAAAAAGAAATACTGGTAATAATAAAAAAAAATTAAAAGACATAAAAATTAAAGCGTAAAAAAAAGTTAAAATGCAAAAGAAAGAAAAGTGAAAGGAAGTAAAGAGCAAAGGAGAGATTAGAATAACGACAGGTCCAAAAACTGGGAAAATGAAAAGTAAAAGACGAATAAAAGAAAAATAAGGAAAAAAGAGAATGCCAAGAAACTACATAGGAATAAGAATGAAAGAAAATAAAACTAAAAAAAGAAAGTGAAAGCATAAATGTAATGAACTGAAAGCAAGTGTGAAAGAAAGTGAAAGGCACAAAAAAGTGAAAGTGAAAGAATGAAAAATTAAAAGAATGAGTAAAAAAAACTAAAGGAAGGAGCAAAAAAGAAAGACAAAGGAGAGGGAAAGTGTTAAAAACAACAAATGGAAGTGAAAAAGTGCAATAAAAAGACTAAAAGAAAGAAAAACAGTAAAAAAAAAGTGAAAGCAAAAGAAAGTAAGAGAAAGTGAAATGAATTGAAACAAATGAAAACATTGGTAAACAAATAAAGAACAGGCAAAGGAGTGAAGATAAGAAGCAAAAGAAAGAAAGAAAGAAAGAAAGAAAGAAAGAAAGAAAGAAAGACCACATCAATTAAAAGGCTAAAAGTAAAATAAAGCAAAATATTAAAATAAAAGAAAGTGAAAGAAACTGGCAAATGGGACAAATGAAAGAACAAAAAGGGAAAAATGAAAGAAAATGAATGGCGCAAAGAACAAAGAAACGAGAATAAAGATAAATAAGAACTAAATTATATAACAGAACATAAAAAATAAATAAAATAACAGTAAAAGTGCAATCATTAATAAATGCAAAAATAAGTGAAAGCACAAAAAAAGGAAAAGCAGTGCAAAGTGAAAGTGTAAGTATAAGAGAAAGTGAAAGAAATCAAAAGCAAGAGAGAAAGACTGAAAGAACAAAAAAATAAAAATAAAAAGTCACAGACAGAAAGTATAGTAAACAGCAAAAGAAAGAGAGAAAGACAAAAGAGAGTGGTGACCTGTCCACAGACGCGGCGGTGTCGCTCTGACTCGAGCTCTCAGGCACGTTGTCATAAAGCATCTTGTTGGACTCTATGAAGTTCTTCTGCATGGCCGACATCTGAGCCATGATCTTCTGTCTGTGGGCTTTAGCAGCTTCAGCTTTCCTCTTGCGCTCGGCCTTCTCTTTATCCTGCACACTCTGAGCAGAGACGACACTCTTTAAACACCTCAACGTCATGGAAGCATTGCGACTGAGACCCTCTGTGTTTGAATCTGTGCCATTACCTCCTCCAACATGCTGTGATCCACAGAAAATGAAGCTACAGGACCGGATTTCTCTCGAAGACACTTCACCACCTCAAACGGAGCAGCTCTGGTGAAGTTCATGTTTATATAGACGCTAAAACGTGCGTAACAATGCGTACTTCAGTGTGTAGTAGATAAAACGGCGCCACTTAGAGACATGCACTAACAAACAGATTATTCATATAGCAGTCTCTTCACGCTTCACAGACACATATCATATCTACTTTTGATTTATCCATCATATTGCTCGTTTTACGTGACATCCTCGTTATACTGTAAATTCCATGTTCACAACTGCACCGGGATTCCCTCTGCTTCACGGAAATCATACGGCCTTAATTTATAACTATTTATAAATGCGACACACCTTTATCTGCACAGAGGGATGGTGTCCGCAAATATGAGCAAAGATGTTGCCCACTTTTGCAGCCACTTTGCGTCCACATGTTTTGCAAATTGGATCTGTCCTCAAGGACAACCCCGCGTTCGTTTTTTAATATCTAAAGTATTCCCATACTGCAGATTTTTACTTTTTTTTTAACGGCGGGGATGGAGATTAGATATTATCTCTGTCTCTGTCATTTTCTCCTCTGTACGTGCGTGTAAGCAGCCAATTGAATGCAGAGTGAAGCAGCCGAACGGAAATAAGTTGCATTTGCGCAGGTGAGATTTTTAATTTTTTTTTAACCGTAGATATGCAAATGTTTACAGTATGATAACCATGCACGTTCAAACCGTGATAAACTGTCATACCGGTATATCGATACAACCCTACCGTATTTTGATAGATAGCATTACTGTTTGTTGCAAACAAATTCATCCACGATTTTTCTGAATTCTGATCTGAATCCATGAAGTCTGAACTTTGACATTGTGATTAAGTAGACCAATGAAACCGGCAGCCAGACGGGGTCTGCACCATTTCAGAAAAAACAAAGGGTGAGATCTTACTTTGTGCTTTCAGACTAAAGTCAAAGGTCACTTCCTCAGTACTGCTGCTTTCCAACTGTGTTTTTTCCTCCAGTAGAGCCTGGCCTACAAGGTGAAGGGCCTAAAGCCATACAAGCGAGTTAAAAAAATAAATCACATTTGTCAAATCTCACATCAAACAAACTCACCATGAAAACAGCAACAGCAATAGTCCATGCAATTGAATTATGTTCTTAAAAATGCAAATGCAATAATTATTTAAGTTTAAAAAATAACTACATTTACGTTACTGAAACGGTGAGAAATGGTGTAGGCAGGACAGTAAGAGCCATACCCTCTGGATCATGGGTTCACAGTCAGATAATGTACTTAAAACTGGTCAGTTAATGTACGTAAATATTGGGCTGCCACAATTTTACAGCAAAATAAAACAAAACAATACACATCACAAAAAATACACAACAAAACACAACACAAAACAAAACAACAAACACAACACAACACAACACAATAAACACAACACAAAAATGACACAACAAACACAACACAAAAAAGACACAACAAAATACAACAAAAAAGACACAACAAAACAAAACACAACAAACACAACACAAAAAAGACACAATAAAACACAACACACAACACAACAAAAATACAATTCTTACATTTTCAGGCAGGCTTTTAACCAGGCTGCTATGAGCCATGGGTTGAATACAAAGCAGATGGATGACCTCCCTCATAGTCACATCCTCCTTAGTCACATGACTGATTCCAGGCACATACCGTTCACCTGCATATTTCACATGCAAAATATATATCAGAGGCAAAACAAAGGCAGTGTCCCCAGTCAACCCATTTACATAAAACAACTGATAACACATCAACTAAGGGCAGCAAATGACAAAAAAATAAAAATAAATAAAAGGTCAGAACTTACCTACAATGATGATTATCAGGTAAAGCATCTCCTCCGTTAACCTATTCCACTGTTTCAGTACTTCCTGTGTGATGAAAAAAAGGCACAGAAACCAATCAAAACCAATGACAAAAAGTATAAATAAATGATTTATTATTTAAATATAAATGATTTATTTATTAGGCATGTATTGATCAGTTTTGGAGAAGCTGCTACAGAACTATACATATTCACCTCACCTTCTCTCACTCACCTGATCTTTACTGGAGGAGTTGCCATTAAAAATATCAAAGAGTTCAAATCTCAAAAGAACAAGCATGAGGAAATGATTGGGGTCCATTTTGGAAGCAGTTTTTTACCCCTCCAATATACAATACTGTAACACTCAAAAAATAAAAATACAATTTAGACAGCATCAATAACCATTAAAGGCCATGTCATGCCACATATAGATGTACAAGATGTTAAAATGAAACAATGGATGTGTTGGAAATATCAGTTGATTATCCAACAGCTTATTTGGAGACTTTTTTCATGTTCAGATTTTGAACATGCAGGTTTTTCAGAGAATGACAAATGATTGTATTTACAAATATACTCTACTTTCATGTTTTTAGTGATTTTTCTTTTTTTAACAAGTGAAAAAGTGGAATTGGTGACACTCACCTGGCTGACGAGCGACAGGCCGTTTCTGCGCCACATGTCAGCACACACCTGAGCCGCCAGCACAACACAGCGCAGAGGCTGCTCCGCCAGCTCAGTGAAGTTCAGCTGCACCTGAAACACACACAAATACACACCTGTAAACGACAGTGCTAGACATTCACACATTACAGCTTCATTTTATTAATTAATGATGTACTCACAGGATCCACAAAGTCAGGGAGGTATTGGATTGCTCCAGTCTGGCACAGCTGCACATATAAACCTGAGAACAGATACAGACACAGAGTATTGCAGTGACCACCAAAAAAAAGAAAGAAAATAATAAACCAGCCACAATCATTGGTACACTTTCATGAGTTCCAATAATTTACAGATCTTTATCCGTTTTGAAAGAAATGAATACTTCTATTAAAGGCTGCATTAAACTGATCAAAAGTAATAGTAAACGGTTTTATAAAAGATTTTACAAAAATATGCTAGAAAATATTTCTATTTTAAATAAATGCAGTTCTTTTGAACTTTTTATTTCATCATAATTATTTTAAAAAGTACAGCTGTCACAAAAATATTAAGCAGTTACAACTGCTTTCAAAAAAACTATAAGATTTTTTTTTTAATTAGAATGATTTCTGAAGGATCATTTGACACTGAAGAAAATTAAATCAGCTTTGTCATCACAGGATTTTTTTATTTTTTTTTAAATAACCATTTTTATTTCAATATATTTAACAATGAAATTTATGAAGAAAAAAAAACTTTAGTATAAGGACCAATTCTTGCTACTAATTAGCATACCTATTATTAACATTTTGGCTGTTTACTAGTGCTTATAAAGCACATATTCTACATGACCATATTCTACATCCCTAATCCTACCTAATACCTAAATCTAACAACTACTTTACTAATTATTAATAAGCAGCAAATTAGGAGTTTATTGAGGCAAAAGTTGTAGTTAATGGTTTGTTAATAGCGAGAACTGAACCTTAAAATAAAGTGTGACCCAATGTTCACTTTTGAAAAAAAGAGAAGAATGTTAGTGGGAAAAAATAAGAGAAGTTTTGAAAATGAGTTAACCTTCTCTTTAATGTAACCATGTAACACCCCATTTTTGAAGATACCACAGACATTACTTCCTGTGTCATTTTAAGACATCACCAGTTAGAAACCCCCAAAAGTCTGACTTCTAATACAGGGATTCAACAATTCTGCTAACCGGCCAGGAGTCTAGAGATGGGCAGATGGATGGAGACGGGCTCCTGGGAGACTTTATACAGCCGTGCGTGGAGGATCTGCTTGCACATGTAGCTGTCTGTCGGCTCTCTGCGGAAGGGCTGGTTGGTGCAGGACATTAGAGCTCTGTGACACTCCTGAAAGGCCAACAACAGAACCCTCTCCTGTGGGTAAATAACACAACACATACACAGTGTCACATATCCAGGTCATTCATTAACCAGTGGATAAACAAGATTTGTAAGCTAATCAGACAAGCAACAGTAATGGCTTTAAAGTAGACTGGTCTATTTAAGTGCTTTGTCTCAGCATCACACAGAGACTTTCTGTAACCTGAAGTTGATTTTTACTTTTTTTTGGGAACATGTTTTACTTTATTTTGGGAACATTGTTTTCTGATTATAAAACAATGTCGGGAAATAAAGCACATGCTGTTTTAGCATTGAGTTTCTTATAACCAAGTAGAATCGTTTGACTTATGCGAGTAGTACGTTTTCATTTCAACGCCCATTAAACTAACAGATCACAGCATTCACACTGGAGTTTGCCATGTGGTGTCACATCCCATTCATTCAAATGAAAACGCTCCACTCATGGATGTTTGAATTCACTACGAAGTATCATCACTGCGGTTTCATGTTGTACTTTGCAGCCAGTGACACACAAGAAACGGGCCAGAGGGTGGACACGTGAGTTTTTAGCTTTATTTATAAGATTTTTTTTTTAATTAGAATGATTTCTGAAGGATCATTTGACACTGAAGAAAATTAAATCAGCTTTGTCATCACAGGATTTTTTTATTTTTTTTTAAATAACCATTTTTATTTCAATATATTTAACAATGAAATTTATGAAGAAAAAAAAACTTTAGTATAAGGACCAATTCTTGCTACTAATTAGCATACCTATTATTAACATTTTGGCTGTTTACTAGTGCTTATAAAGCACATATTCTACATGACCATATTCTACATCCCTAATCCTACCTAATACCTAAATCTAACAACTACTTTACTAATTATTAATAAGCAGCAAATTAGGAGTTTATTGAGGCAAAAGTTGTAGTTAATGGTTTGTTAATAGCGAGAACTGAACCTTAAAATAAAGTGTGACCCAATGTTCACTTTTGAAAAAAAGAGAAGAATGTTAGTGGGAAAAAATAAGAGAAGTTTTGAAAATGAGTTAACCTTCTCTTTAATGTAACCATGTAACACCCCATTTTTGAAGATACCACAGACATTACTTCCTGTGTCATTTTAAGACATCACCAGTTAGAAACCCCCAAAAGTCTGACTTCTAATACAGGGATTCAACAATTCTGCTAACCGGCCAGGAGTCTAGAGATGGGCAGATGGATGGAGACGGGCTCCTGGGAGACTTTATACAGCCGTGCGTGGAGGATCTGCTTGCACATGTAGCTGTCTGTCGGCTCTCTGCGGAAGGGCTGGTTGGTGCAGGACATTAGAGCTCTGTGACACTCCTGAAAGGCCAACAACAGAACCCTCTCCTGTGGGTAAATAACACAACACATACACAGTGTCACATATCCAGGTCATTCATTAACCAGTGGATAAACAAGATTTGCAAGCTAATCAGTAAAGCAACAGTAATGGCTTTAAAAGTAGACTGTAGTCAATTGAAGTGCTTTGTCTCAGCATTAGGTTTACATTCTGTAACCTGAAATTGATTTGTACTTGATTTTGGGAACATTACGTATTTTCTGATTATAAAACATAATGTCTGGTAATAAAGCACATGTTGTTTTAGCACAGAGTTTGTTTAACTAACACAAGTAGAATAGATTGACTTATGTGGGCAGTGTGTTTTCATTTTGACACCCTTTAACTAACAGATTACAGCATTCACATTAGGTGTTTGCCATGTGGTGTCGCAACCCATTCACTAAAATGGAAACGCTCCACTCATGGGTGTTTGAATTTACTCACCAAATTTTATAACTACAGAATAATAGATGTTTATTTGAAACAAGACCATCCAATAATTGCCCCATTTCGGGAAACAAGACATATTTGTCTATTTAAACATTATTTAATAGATTTTGAGTATATGAGTAAAGTCTGAGTTACCAGTTTGCACTGCAATGTCAAAATCTAGAAAGACTGATATATAGACTACTTAGACTGGACCTTGGCATATTTTAAATGTCTAAATTGACCTTTATTAACTGGTTATTAAATTAACTAGTCATGACTGTTAGATATATTTTGCTCAAATTTATATCTTTGAAACAAAAGGTTATTATATCGCAGCTGTACCTGTTCACTGAGTCTTAAAGTTCTTATATTTTGCTGTATACATGTTAAAATCTTAGAACGGATTCAAATCTTAGAACAGACTGGAGTAAAACATCCAATTTGGGGAAAATTTAAGTAAAACTGAAATCAAGATGCAACTTAACCCGGGTCTGTACAAAAAAGGGTTCCCTTACAATATGTTTGCATGTGTGGGGAGTTGGGGGAAATATAATAATAATAATAATTTTGCTAAAAAACAAAACAAAAAAACACTCATGTTCATTTAACATGTTACCAAAAAGTTTGGTGTCAGTAAGTTTTTATTTTTTAATTAAATTAATACTTTTACTCAGCAAGGATGCATTAAATTGATAAAAAAAAGTGATTTGCCATCACAGGAAAAGTTACATTTTCAAATATATTCAGATTCTAAAAAAGAAGCTATTTTAAATTTTTGGTAAGCAGCCTTGATAAGCATAGAATTCAAAATAAAATAAAATAACAACAATTAAAAAAAACAATCTTTTCAACAGAAGTATATTGATTTTATACAATATATCATGTTTTATTAATTTTCCATAATCACCAATTTCTTATGTATTTTACCCCAAAAAAGCAATATAGAAAAGCAAGATGCCTGACTAGTTGTGACTCACGTCAGAAGAACACCAGTCCTGAAACATGGTGAGAATGTGGCGCAGCTGCATCTGGAGGGTAAATCCCGCCTCCCACTCGGGCTCCACCTCAACATGCTGACCAAGCTGCCTCTTCACCTCCTCCATCCCCTGCCACCAAAGAACGAGATTCAATAAGGCTACAGATCAAACCAAATTAAGATCCTTTTGCCAAGAGAAAGCATTACCTGCATACAACATAAGAAGCGAAGAAAGACGCGTAAACCTTCGAGGAACTTCACCCTCAACGTCTCAGTCCACACAGAGGGCTTACTGATTAGAATGTACCTGATAACATCACAATGGAACCAATCAACATTGAGCCAATTAATGAGATGATTTTATTTTCCATAATTCAAGGGTTGTGTGTAGACCTGAGGTCATGGAAGATAACTTGAACCCGGAAGAACTTGTCAGGGTTGTGGCCCTGGAATTGGAAGCGGTTGTTGCTGTCCAGATGTGCACTCATCATATCCATTACAGTGTCTATAATGACCTTGATGACACTGCCCTCCTCTATCAACTGCCTGGCCTGAGAAAAAAAAACAGAGATGGAAAACTTAACATTTACCTTCAACTTTTAAATTAACTTTAAGGGTGTGTTAGTTCCCTGAATATTAGTTCCCATTGTTTACTTGTGCCATATAATTCCAATTTGTAAGACTTTCTTTCTTTTATGAAACAAAAAAGGACTAGCATTTTCTTATATATTATGGTTATTTTTAATGCCACTGCAATGAATGGGTGCTGAAGATTTCAGGATGCTAAAGCTCCATAAAAATGAACACAAGAACAACATCTGGCTCAAGAATCAATAATTTACACAAGTTTTGTGAACAAGATCGACTGATTCATTAATAATAAATACTTTTTTTGTTGTCATTTTAGAGTGTGATAGCCAACGTTAACATTTACTTTCATAATATTGATAAAAAATCCCAGGATATTCTTTCAAACATGTTTTTGTGTTCTACTGAAAGAAATTCATACAGATTTGACATGATGTGAGGGTGAGTAAATTATAAAATTATAATTTTCCTTTTTGAGCGAACTCTAAAGCCTAAAGACTGAGATGCATCAAAACATCAAGACCAAGTACAAATAGTATCTACAGTACAGTAAAGTCAAAACATATGCTACAAACAATAAAAACAAAGCATAAAATCTGTCCTGTTCCAAAATGTGCCAGAATGCAGTTCATAACGTATTAGGGCCCTATGAAATCCGTTTTATTTTTGGCCAAATTCCGTTTTTTTTCCATTTGAATTTTTCTGGATTCTGTTTTTTTCTTCTCCTTTTTAATTTGTATAGACTCGGTTTTAATGGTTAAAGTAAATTGTTATGCATGTCAAATTAATTGAAATCATGAAACTTACACAATTTAACAGCAATTTATTAAACGTTTAACAAAAATTAAGGCCCCATGAAATGCATTTTATTTTTTTCTCAAATTTAGTTTTATTATTACAAAATTCTGTGTTTTCCATTACTTTTCTGGATTCCATTTTAATGGTTTCATTAAATTTTAATAATCAAAAGCATCTCTAAATAATTGTTTTTAAAAAGAAAAAAAAAAAACTGAAAATGCTGCTAGCGTCACACGCGCTTCTGTATGTGTGTAGTAAACGAAACCACTCGCCTGCTCCATTCATTTACACAGAGACACACAGAACATGCAGGATTCATATTTAAATAGTTTTTCTGCGGCTTAATATTCACAGACACTAGTCCATATCGCATTTTGATTTCACCTCTGCCTTTTACAGTAAATTTTATTTTTATGATTGGATTATGCGATTCCGACCACATTTTCACAGGGCCCTATATAAAGTATGTGCTGCATTCTCACAAGCTGTATACAAACACGCACAAAAAAAAACAGAATTTCTTTGCAATTACTTGTAACAAAGTATACAAGCAGGAAATTCATAATTACAGGGAAAAGTATCTGACTGATAAAAGTATGAGTATCAATGCATATTTAGTAGGGATGCTCCAATCGATCGGTCGGAGATCGGTATCGGCCGATAATCACATTTTATGACTCGATCGGTACTCACTAACTTGGCCGATCTCACGAACCGATCACAATTCGATGACGTCAACGCGTGACGACGTACATGATGCGTGGGGACATAAATGATTTGGCGCCACAGTCATGTCATAGCTGGTGTAGAAATGCTATGACGTTTCGAGAAACAATGAAAAATTCGCTATTTGTCGCGTATGTTTTGCATAATGATATGATAAATAGGCCTAGATGGTTCATTTTTAACAGCAGATTCAGTGACGTTAGAGCTGATCTGCGCCTCACTGCACGCGTCTGCGGCGCGTTACGGCTCTAAGGCCACCGGAGCTGATCGCGGCCGCTCTAGTCAGTGCTCGTGTTTATGAGCCAGCCGCGGCACGTTTCTGAGTTGTCACAGTGTGAAGGACGGAACAAAACCTCGTCGGAGCCGTAAGGAATAACGGTAACATAATATGCTGATCGTGGGCTGTTATTTATAAAACAAAATATCTTCTTTGGCCATATTAGCCTACTCAATAGCATTAACACCGGCTTTACTCCTTTCAAACTTTATCTGGAATGTCACTGCTTCTGTCACTGCAGCTTCCCGAACAGGTGCGCGTGAAATCGTCTGCCTCTAGAAAAAAAATATTTTAGTTAATTAGCTTAATTAGTTAATTAGTTAATATTTGCATCATTTATGATTTATTTTATCCACCCGCAAATAATCACAATGCATTTTTTATTAACCAACCCGCGGATTAACAACTTCAGTTCCCGAACAGGTGCGCGCGAAATCGTCTGCCTCTAGAAAAAAAATATTTTAGTTAATTAGCTTAATTAGTTAATTAGTTAATATTTGCAATATTTGCATCATTTATGATTTATTTTATCCACCCGCAAATAATCACAATGCATTTTTTATTAACCAACCCGCGGATTAACAACTTCAGTCTGCTCATCACCTTAACTTTAACTGCGTTTGTAGCCGGTGCCATAGCCAGACTGATAAACAAATACAGACCAGAAGTTAACTTCGGCCAGGCGCGTGCGCCCGATGAAACCGTCTACATAAAGCTCGAAGCATCAGAATCGGCCGATCACCATGACAAGAAATCGGTACTCAGTATCGGCTGCAAAAATCCTGATCGGAGCATCCCTAATATTTAGTTAGAAGTCAGTTTTAGTTAGATTCTATTGGATACAGAAAGATGCTCGACTTTACAGAAACATGCTTGATGTCATTTCTGCTAGCCGTTCATCATACCAAAGTGGGAACAGTGAAGATCTGCACAGATAAGGCTGTGACTGAGATGTTCCTCTGATGGTCATCGCTGATAAAGTCTTCCTGAAGTTGCTTGTAGTGCTGTAACATGACATACTCCTGTTAGTACTCAAACATTAGAATGATGTATACGTATGTGAAATGATGTGCAGATGTAAAAGGATACCGCTGTGAATTTCATGGCAAACTGCCTCTTGAATTCTGTGTCCATCAGTAAACTACTGAAAATTAACTCGTGGACAACCTTGCGAGCTCCTGAGGAGAGTAACAGGAAATCAGGTTTAGATACAGCACTAAGACTATTTTACCGGATTTAAAAATGTTTGTAGGGTATTAAAAGTGCATAATCTAATGGTAGAGATTGACCTTTATAAAGTTTGGCGTCGTGCAGCATAAGTCGACTGATCAGGCAGAGCTGATCGTTGTCAGCGGCCGGCTCCAAAGCCACCTGGCAGAATACCTCCCTGAGGCCAACTACACAACCAGTGACAAGGACAAAACCTCAAAATTATTTGTGCGTTACTTAATTTGATATATATTCATTTGTCCAGTAGAAACCGCAATATCGTGAAATATTGCAATTTAAAATAACTTTTTAATATGCAATTTATTGCTTTGCTGGAAAAACTGAATTTCTCTCTCTTTTTTTAATTAACCTTTCCTGATTTCTTATCACACTACCATTCTAAAGTTTGAGGTAAGATATATATATATATATATATACAGTGGGTACGGAAAGTATTCAGACCCCCTTAAATCTTTATTCAGCAAGGACATAAAATGAATCAACAGTCACAGTAAAGATATTTATAATGTTACAAAATATTTATATTTCAAATAAATACCGTTCATTGAACTTTTTAAAGTATCCTTTAAAAAAAATTAAGTTTCCACAAAAACATCAAGCAGCAAAATCTTTTTGCTATATATATATTTTGTTCATATATATATATATATATACACACATAGCAAAATTTATTTGAACAAAATTCAAAACATTTTATTTTATTTTATTACTTTATAAGGCCTATTTTAGTACGGTCATGAAATATATATATTTTCTTAATTTATTATTATTCTGTACTGGTTATAAATAAAAACCAAATCTCGCTTCACTTTCTGCTCCTAATCATCTACCTAAGTAGCCAATGATCTTCTGGAACCATGCGCCAAGTCTGAGGGCGAAGGTCTGATGAGCCATTACAGCAGTGTGAAGAATCTCCACCCGCAAAGGTATCTGGATAATGTGCTCTGAGTTACGCTGCAGAGGAAATGCAAAGATGGTTACGCCCTACAAAAAGCATACAAAATGTGTGTGATGGAAGAGTGTAGCCAGTATGTTTACCCTGATGTTGTCCTTGGCTTGTTGACAGGATCTGAGAGTACCTCTCTTCACTGCTTTCCGCCCCTGAAACCATGATAACACGAGGTATGAAAAGTCTATACGCTGACCATGTAAGACTATGTGGAACACTCGGAAGACTCACTTCCTTGTCAATAAGTGCAGTGTAGATTTGGGCCTGGTTCTGGTCACAGGCGATCGCGCGCTGAAGCGTGTAGATGACGTGATCATATGAGTGATGTTCATCGTTGTAGAGCACACAGAAGTAGGCGTCTTCCTTCACTCTGAACACAACATTAAACAACGTTAACTTTTTAAAATGAAGGTGGAGCCCATTTTGGACTTCCCAGCTTGAGGCTTTAGGAACTGTATATCTCACTTTGGCTTCAGCTCCTCTGATAGCTCATAGGTTTCTTCCCAAACCAGCATGTCTGTCGTGTACCGCAGCAGCAGGTGGAACAGCATCTGAGCCCTTTCTCGAAGGCCTGGATCCATCACACACTCATCCTGTGACACACATATCAGCAGCTGTCACTGAGAGTCATTAAATTTTTTGTTGTTCACAGAATGATTTTACTTGATTTGTGCTCACATACAAACATCTACCTATCAATTCACCCATAAGTAGATTTTTGGTGAAATGTCCAAGCTGCTCATTTTCATGTGATAAAAGTAAATAAGGACTGGAACTGGTGAGCTCCAAAACTGATAATGATAATAATATATAATAATAATAATAACAACAAAAAAGTGACATACAAATTAGGCCTGGGCGATAAAACTGTATTGATATTTATCGACGGTACACCTTCTTCGATATCGATAGAAAATTTTTTCGATATAGCGCACGATATAGGCACGTACTATGAGTGACGCAGACAGCACACACAAACACGAACACATGCTGATTTGAATGCTGTGACTGCCCGTGATGAGGAGATTGTGAATAAAGAATGAATATTAGTCGAATTTAAAATAAACATTTGCATTCGAATGTTAGGTGTGCATCAGGGAGCGTCATCAGTGGCGCACAAGATGCGGTGATGTTGTAAGTGACGTTGTTGCATTTTAATATTTTGTTAGTCTAGCCCATGAGACGCGCCGCTGCTGCGTTATTCATTAAAAATATTAGAGAAATACAGAAGCTCAATGCGGAGATCTTGAATGGGTTAAAACCGAAACCAAGCCATTCACACAGAACGCATATTTTCAGAGCATTTTTTAGACGGACAAATATGACTGCTGCGCTCGCGTCTCACAGAGATGTATAGACAGCCATGCAAAGTTAAAATAGTTCAAATGTTTAGAAAACACATCATGAATTTGTGGAGGTTTATTTCTTTTCACTGCATCTCATATGTTTTTTAATGCAGTGTGTGTGAATGGTGCTTCAGCTCTTTGTATTAAGCAATGCATAAATGCATGATGCTGTTTTGTTCATAATTGTTTATGTAATTTACGAAATTATATATGATTTTTATAAGTTAATTTAGACGTAATGCACATTTTTATAGAGTCACTTCCTTGCGTTGACAATTTAAATGTGCTGCATTATTTTGCTCATTGCGCCCTCCCGTGGCCTCGGGAAACAATTAGACCTATACAATATATACATATTTAATCTGCATATAAAACATTAGAAATTAGATGCGTTTAATTTTTATTGTTTGATTGTTAAAACAAAAAATATTTGTTGTTTGTCTCAATAAATTGTGTTAATTATAAATACAGTGGTTAAATAAATAAAACAAATTCTATTGCTTTTTGTTCTAAAAAAAGTTTATGAAAAATGTCAATAATTATTGATACCGAACGATATGAAACATTATATCGTTGATCATTTTTTTAGCTATATCAGCCCAGCCCTAATATAAATCATCAAGATTAAGCATTAGGTTTGACATCAATGATGATTTTACAAGATCTAATGACCAGGGTTCCCAAGTTTCTTCCAAGGCTGGATTTATTTAATATAAAAAAAATAATAGAAACAGGAATATTGCGAAATCTTACTGTAATTTAAAATAATTGTTTTAAATTGTTGTATATATATTAGGGCTGCCACTAACGTCTATTTTTATTTCGATTAATCTATCGACTAATTTATCGATTAAACGATTAATTTCCAGCAAAAAAAAATCAACAATTTTACTTATATTTTATTAAACTATACTTCATTAAACCAAATGAAATCCAAAAGTAAAAAAAGTAAAGTGCAACATAAATGCAAGCAGCAAGTGTCCATCTCATAGTCCAAATCACTGAAATCAAAGTTCAGTATTATAGTGACAACATATCCACTTGTTCTAGTTTACTAATAATAAAATTATAATCAAAAAACACTATTTAAAGGCGTATTTACAAGAAATATTATTCACCAGAATTTATTTAGGAGAAAAATGTAAATGTGCAGTATTTCTGAAAAAAAAAATCAATCTTTTTTTAAAAAAATAAAATCAATTAATTGGAGATGCTTTTGATTATTAAAAAGCTTAATGGAACCATTAAAATGGAATCCAGAAAATAATGGAAAACAGAATTTGGTAAAGATAAAACTGTAAAACTCAATTAATTAGACAGGCTTTTGATTAATAAAATTTAATTTAACCATTAAAACAGAGTATAGAAAAATTTAAAAGGAAAAAAAAACTCAATTTGGAAATAAAACGGATTTCATAGTCCCCTATAATTATAATAATAAAAATATGTAAGTGAACAATAGCCTTTAAAATTACTTAAAGGGGTCATGTGATGCGATTTAAATTTTTCCTTTCTCTTTGGAGGGTTACAAGCTCTTGGTGCATAAAGAAGATCTGTAAAGTTACAAAGACTAAAGTCTCAAATCCAAAGAGATATTCTTTATAAGAGTTAAGAGTCAGCCATGCCTACCTAAAACGGCTCGTTCTAACACGCCCCCACATATCTACATCACTATGTGGGAAGATTTGCATAACGCTGCCCAATAAAGAATGCATATCGCTCCGTCCCACGGGCAGCTTTGGGGCTCTCTGATCACTGTTTGGTTCATCTTATACCGACAGAAACTGAAATCAGCTAGACCTGTATTAAGGACTGTAAAAAGATGGACTAATGAAGCAGAGCAGGATTTACAAACTTGTTTTGACCTCACTGATTGGAGTGTTTTTAAGCTGCTGCCACCGATCTGGACGAGCTCACAGAGACTGTAACATCTTATATCAGTTTCTGTGAAGACATGTGCATTCCTACCAGGACTCATTTAACCTACAACAATGACAAACCATGGTTCACTGCAAAACTCAGACAGCTCCGTCAGGCCAGAGAAGATGCTCACAGGAAGGGGGATACTGTCTTGTATAAACAGGCTAAATACACACTGGAAAAGGAGATCAGAGTGGCAAAGAGGAATTATTCTG